TGGTATTACATTTCTTTCAACCATGGTGTTTTATCTTTGCCATAAAATCTTGTAAATTCGTCATCTTGTCCGCTTTCTTCCATGGCATTTTCAGGATCACTGGATAGATCTTGTGTGGACTGCTTAGAATCTGTATTGTGCATACTGTGTTCAGAACGAACATCACTTAAGTCCTGATCGGAATCTAATGGTGCCACATCGCTGTCTATCTCTTCATACCATTTTAGTAACTGGTTCTTCATTTTCTTGTCCATATTTACCTGCAGTAAAAGTGGTGCGAGTGAGCGAAGGTTAAGTTAATTGAGTTGTACGCCTGTTTAAAATCTATAGACCTCAATGTCGTATTATCACTATTTGTTTAGAATTTATTTCACTGTGAATAACTGGTTTCTTTTCGAAAAACGGTTTGATAATCTCCCTCTGTTGTATAGTACGGAATATTGTTGAGTTAAAGAGAGAAAATATGGTTATTAAAAGGTTTCCCAATTATTTTCCGTTTAGTTACGTGTGAAAGAAGTAGCTCTTTAGTATCGTTCGTACCTTTCAATCATTACAAGCAATTCATAGGTGTATTTTTAGTTGACAAACTCACTGCTTAAAAAGAAAAATTTAAATTGCAAATATTTCGCGTTACATGAAACCTAAAAATAACTTTAAACCATTTTAAAACATAATTTTAAGGAACAATTTTTCACGGTATTATATAATCCAATGTAATTTATTTCAAAACTAGTTTATGTTCTATCAAACGCAGCATTTGCAATTAATCATCCAGTTATATTAAAATCTATTTTTGATAATTCGTTCATGGTTATTCCTGTACCCAATTAAAAATTTGCCGATAAAAACAAATAAAAATTATCATCTTAATTAGCACCAAAAAGTGAAACGTAATGCCGCCGAATAACAATCATTGAAATTAACACGTTCGTAACCCATTGTCTGAAAGATAAATCTGCAAAAAATGTTACTATAATATAGGAATCTAGAGAAACAATAATTCCTTGATTTAATTTAATTTTTAGTATTAAAACATAATCTCCAGTGGGAAGATCACGTGGTTAATAAACTCGGTCCATTAAAAACAGATGCAAGGACTGCTCCCATGTTTTTCTCTGTCGCACTGGGGGAACGGGTTTAGATTGCAGCATGCTATCTAGGTATTACATGTCTATGATCCAGCGAAATCACATCTAACCTAAAATATCTCATCCACGAATCACGCGGTAAAATAATTAGTCGTTCAATAAATTTTGCGGTCCGATAAGAGAGGGCACTGCTACTAGCCTAAATTTTAAGCAGAATTGCTTGTAAAGAGGAGGAAGAAGAAGAAATTACTACTATTAAACAAAAATACCTCCAATTTTTAATCCAGTTGTATTAATAAACAAATTTCGTCTACAAATTTTAATTTAAAAAAGCTGATTTTTATATACCCATTTTGCTTCGATGAAAAACTTTTTTCTGTATTTAGCAAAATCTACTACACTTATCAATCAAGAACTTGTTAGCAAACTTGAAGGGGATAAAGTATGTCTTTCCGATATTAGCGGTTTTTCGATTTTCCGCCCTATTGGTGCGAATGTAGGTCAAGTTTTTTCCGATGTTCTTTGAAGTTAAATCCATATAAGAGAATATTTAACGAACTTTTTTTAGACTTTTCCTATCTTTTCTCCTTAGGTTGTACATTTTTAATATCCATTGCATTATTTACGTAAGAATAATGTACTTTTTAAGAACAGATATATCGAATATGTAAAAATACCCTGAAAGAGAACTGAGCTTCTGACCATTGACAAACCATATTTGAGTTGATAAAAATCAAAGTTCCATCAGTCCAATTTTATAAGACGTTGATATATTTTTGTTGTTTATGTATTTAGTCTACTAGAAATCAAGTGTTTTAGTTGAAGTACTTGGTAAGTCCTGGTTTTGTATTATAATCTGTCGAAAAAATGCCAGTTTGTTTCAAATTCAAGTAAGTCCAAACGTAGCTTTTCGATCAAACATCAAATCGTTTCACCCTTGTTTGATATCTAAACGAAACTGTTTTATCAGAGTTTCTATCAAATTTTAATGAAAAATGGAGACTCAATTCTTATTGTGAATCCACGCATGCAAAGAAAAGCAATAACATAGCGTTCAAGGTAATGCACGCACTGAAAACGGACAACCTGTAGATACTACACCTAACATTTAAACATAGGTAGAGCCGTAACAGCTATATGAGATTTCTCTTCTTTTTCTTCTTCTTTTAATGTAGACATGACTTTGACTGTTTTGTGTTATTATGTGTTAATATGTTATTATTGGTCTGATGACTGTTCTGTAAAATCTGCCTTTCATTTCATTCAACCTTTAGAGGTGAAAATTTGCTTCATACTAGTGAACGATGCTTCTTGCCTTTCTACTCTTATACGTATTTCCTTCGCTTGATCCCAATTTGAGTTAAACTGTTGTTCCCAAGTAGATGTACGAATCCACGTGTTTCAATTCTTTCATTGTCTAATATCAGTTGCTGTGGTGGTTGTTAGGTTTTGCTTACTAACATCCATTTGGTTGTTGTGATATTTAGTCTGAGTCCGTATTGTGCTTTTGTTTTTGTTGATCTTACTCATTAGGCAACTCAGTTCCTCCATGCCTACTTGCTAGATCACAGTGTCATCAGCATACCTTATGTTGTTATTTATCTTTATGCCTTCTGTGCTTTCCTCCAGCGCTATCTTAAATACTTCTTCTGACTATATATTAAAGAATATAGGAGACAAGATACAGCTTCTGTCGTACCCCTTTCTTGATCTCAATTTTATTGGTCAATGTAGATCCTACTTTCACTTTGCTGTTTGACCCCAATAGAGACTCGCTATTGTTCGACATGTCTCTGCACTCGACTCCGATCTTATGGAGAACTTCAATTATCTTTTCGTGCTTTACGTTATCGAATGCTTTGCGCAGTTCTATAAAGCATATGTACACGTCTTTGATCATATCTCTGCAGCGCTGGATGAGTAACCTGTAGACTAAAAAGTGCTTCTCTTGTCCCAAGAGAATTCCGAAACCCAAACTGCGAATCTCCAATGTTATCCTCGCATTTTTTGCTTATTCTGTTGTAAATAAGCTTGGTGTATGCCTCCCGAAATGTGGTTAATTAAGACTTATCATCCGATGTTGATCACAAGACTTTGCTTTTTGGTTTTTTCGGTATGGCAACAAAAGTTGACTCTAGCCAGTCTTCAGGAAACTCCCCGCTGTTATAAATATTGTTTAAAGAGTCTTGACGAGTGAGTCTAGAAATTGACTGTTTGTTTTCGCACAGCATTTTCAATACTTCCCCGAATAAGTTATCGTTGCCTGGTCTTTTGTTATTTTTAAGACCCTTTATAGCATTCTCCACTTCTGATTTTAGAATAGAAGGCCGAGTATCATCTGTATACCCACTAGGACGGTCATCATTAAACAGTTGTTCCACATAAGTTTCCCAGATTCCTAACTATTTTTAGTGTAGATTTCCATTATCATCGCACAGCCCTTTCGATAAAATAGAGAGGTAATAGGATGCTTGATCTCCATTCTTGAGGAATTCTGTTTTGTTCTAATATTTTTTGGACTAGTTTTAATAGTTGTTTGGTCCGATCTGGTCCTCCGTCTGGGAGTTCGTTGGTTTGGTGATTTTATATTGTTTAATTTCCTTAATGTTTCATTTACTTCTATCCTCAATATTTATTTCTTCATTTGTAGTCACCTCTGGTGTTGGTGGACTGTGACATAGGAGACAGTATGTGATATTCTTACAGTTTTTTTGTACCTATTTTGCTCCAGGCTTACAAATTACACCTGGTTTTCAAATAAATTGCAATGTCGAAAGTTGAATTCTATGTTTTTTTCTCAAAAGATTTTATAACATTGTATAAAAATCGTACATATTCTAAGGTTGTCGGTGGTACGTTCTTTTCAATGCTAAGTAGTCAAAGGAGAATAAACACACATCTTACTAAGCTGCAATCCCTTTTTTTCTATTTCTCTAATTCTGTTCTTTAATCGAAATGTAAAAATACATTCTGGCAATCACACGCGAGTTTCTAACTCAGCACTCGTGCCTTAATAATTAGGACACTTCACATTTACAAAATAATTATACAATTACTCGATATTACATAATACACAATATGGATCCAGTTAAATATTAAATAATATTTGATGTTATTTCTCAACAAATCTCAGTAATTACTCTCATCTTATCACAAGATGTAGCAAATCTGTAATGCAATACTGTTATTATAAAATTAAATATAAAAAATCATAGTTTAATGACAAGTACTTTGCTGGTATGCTATATACAACCAACAGGACCATATACAAGCACTTATGCAGCTCGTGAACTTTGCAAACCAATGTCTTACGTAAGTAGTCTATGGACAATGGTGTAGATACTACACAACTTTTGATACTACTATACTAATACCTTCTTAATCACATAAAAGCACTTGATTTGCAGCAAATGCTACAATATCTTTAAACATTTTTTATAATAAACAAGTTCTTTTAGGGAAACAGATTAGAATTTCGTTTCCAGTATTTTAAGCATATTCCACATAATTTATATAGTGATATTGAATTTTCAATCATATTGATAAATCTGTGTCAATACATCTAATACGAATTCTAACACGCGATAACGACATAAACGTCGGTTTACATGCTCAGATAATTATAAAATACTTTGGTATGGCTTTATTAAAAAAGTTTCGTGCACTGTAAAACAATTTTTCTTTGAAGTATTTTTTATATCTTACTTTGATCGTTAATCGTTCCCGCCTTGAATTTTTTCCAACTGCCAATATTTCTTGACTTCCTACGTAAAGTTGTTTCACATTTACTCACTATTCGCAAGTATGTTGCAGTAAACTTAGTGTCCATACGGCTATCAAACTGTTAATTTTTATTTTTTCCTTTATACTTTTTGGTTTTCATGATTTTAATGCATTTTTTTTGTTTTTCAGACGAAAGAGAAAGCGTCCAAAAGAAAACGTTCCAAAAATGGGTGAACTCACACTTGGTCCGAGTGAACGCCCGTATCTCAGATCTTTACATCGACATGAGAGACGGCAAGAACTTAATAAAACTTCTAGAAGTACTGTCCGGAGAACGACTGCCCCGTCCTACGAAAGGAAAAATGCGTATCCACTGCCTAGAAAACGTAGACAAAGCGTTACAGTTCCTAAGAGAACAGCGCGTTCATTTAGAAAATATGGGATCCCACGATATAGTAGACGGAAATCCCCGCCTCTCCTTGGGTCTAATATGGACCATTATCCTTCGCTTCCAAATTCAAGACATCACAATAGAAGAAACTGATAATCAAGAAACTAAATCTGCTAAGGACGCACTTCTGTTGTGGTGTCAAATGAAGACTGCAGGTTATAATAATGTTAACGTTAGAAACTTTACAACATCTTGGCGTGACGGTCTTGCTTTTAACGCTCTTATTCACAAGCATCGTCCAGATCTTATTCATTTCGAAAAGCTGTCCAAATCTAGCCCCATCCATAACCTCAATAATGCTTTTAATGTAGCCGAAGACAAACTAGGCCTCACAAAATTATTAGATGCTGAAGACGTTTTTGTAGAACAACCAGACGAAAAATCCATAATCACTTACGTAGTTACTTACTATCACTACTTCAGTAAGATGAAGCAAGAAACCGTTCAAGGAAAACGTATCGGTAAAGTAGTAGGTATAGCTATGGAGAACGAACGAATGATCAAAGAATACGAATCACTAACAAGCGACTTGCTTGCATGGATCGAAGCAACAATAGTAGCTCTAGGTGATAGAAATTTCGCTAATAGTTTAGCTGGCGTTCAAGCTCAACTAGGCCAATTCAATAACTACCGTATTGTAGAGAAACCACCAAAGTTTGTCGAGAAAGGTAACTTAGAAATTCTGCTCTTTACACTCCAATCAAAAATGAGAGCAAACAATCAACGACCTTACACTCCAAAGAAGGTAAAATGATATCAGATATCAACAGAGCTTGGGAAAGATTAGAAAAATCCGAACACGAAAGAGAACTGGCGTTGAGAGAAGAACTTATCCGCCAAGAAAAACTTGAACAACTAGCTGCCAGATTTAACCGAAAGGCAAGCATGAGAGAAACTTGGTTAAGCGAAAACCAAAGGCTGGTGTCTCAAGATAACTTCGGTCAAGAATTGGCAGCCGTCGAAGCTGCAGCCAAGAAACATGAAGCTATCGAAACTGACATATTTGCATACGAAGAAAGAGTACAAGCTGTTGTATCAGTAGCTGGAGAATTAGAAGCTGAAAATTACCACGATATGGAAAGAATCAATGCTAGAAAAGAAAACGTTCTTAGACTATGGAATTACTTATTGGAATTGCTTAAAGCACGTAGAATTCGTCTAGATATATCACTTCAATTACAACAGAACTTCCAGGAAATGCTACATATTCTAGATGCCATGGAGGAATTGAAACAACGTCTCCTTACTGACGATTACGGTAAACATTTGATGGGCGTGGAAGACTTGCTTCAAAAACACAATCTACTTGAAGCTGACATTAACATTCTCGGCGATAGAGTAAAAGCAGTCGCTAGTCAGTCACAGAGATTCGTCGATATTGAAAACGAAGAAGGATATAGACCATGCGATCCTGCCTTAGTATTAGAACGTGTCCAACAATTAGAAGAAGCTTACGCTCAGTAGTAAGACTTGCTGTTGAAAGAAGAACGCGCCTTGAAGAAAGTAAGAAATTGTGGCAGTTCTATTGGGATATGGCTGATGAAGATAACTGGATTAAAGAAAAGGAACAAATTGTTTCTACATCAGATATTGGTCATGACCTTACCACCGTCAACCTACTCCTTAGCAAACACAAGATCCTTGAAAATGAACTATCTGCTCATGAGTCACAGTTAGAGGCGGCCCTGGGTGTTGGAGAAGAACTCATCAACGGAGGCCACTTTGGTGCAGAAAAGATCCAAGAAAGGCTAAATGAAATCCGTGACGCATGGAAGCATCTTCTAGATTTAGCAGCTTACCGCAGAAAGCGATTAGAAGAAGCTGTAGACTATCACCAACTGTTCGCTGATGCTGATGATATTGATATTTGGATGTTAGATACCTTACGATTAGTATCTAGTGAAGACGTTGGACAAAATGAGGGTAACGCACAATCTCTGCTCAAGAAACACAAGGATGTTACCGAAGAACTTAAGAACTACGTGTAAGTGTCATTGACGCCCTACACCAACAAGCAGAAGCTTTGGGACCAGAAGTAGCTAACTCACCAGAAGTCAATAAAAGACTTGCTTCCATCGACAACCGATACAAAGAATTATTGGAATTGGCCAAACTTAGAAAGCAACGCTTGCTTGATGCTCTTTCACTATACAAACTTCTTTCAGAAAGTGATGGAGTTGAGCAATGGATCAATGAAAAGGACTCGTATGTTACAGACCATGATTCCTGCTAGAGATATTGAAGATGTTGAAATTATGAAACATCGTTATGACGGTTTCGAGAAAGAAATGAACAGTAATGCTTCCCGCGTAGCTGTAGTCAACCAATTAGCACGTCAATTATTGCACGTTGAGCATCCCAATTCAGAAGAAATCACTGCCAGGCAAAATCATCTTAACCAGAAATGGGCCGAATTACGAGAAAAAGCAGAAGCTAAAAAAGAAGAACTTAACTCTGCTCATGGCGTTCAAACCTTCCACATCGAATGCCGCGAAACTACTACTTGGATTGAAGACAAAGTTAGAATACTACAAACAACAGACAGTTTGGAAATGGATCTTACAGGTATTATGACCCTTCAACGTCGTCTCTCAGGAATGGAAAGAGATTTGGCAGCTATTCAAGCTAAACTCACTGCACTTCAAAAAGAAGCTGATAGTATCGCTGATGAACATCCCGAAGAAGCAGCTGTTATTAGGGAACGTATTACACAAATTCAGGTCATTTGGGAGACATTGACTCAAATGCTGAAAGAAAGAGACTCGAAACTTGAAGAAGCTGGTGATCTTCACAGATTCCTTCGTGATTTGGATCACTTCCAAGCTTGGCTTAGCAAAACTCAAACAGATATCGCTTCTGAAGATACTCCAAGCTCTCTTTCCGAAGCTGAGAAACTACTTTCTCAACACCAAGCTATTAAAGAAGAGATTGACAACTACACATCTGATTACACGAAGATGATGGAGTATGGAGAGAGAATTACAGCAGAGCCAAGTACTCAAGACGATCCACAGTATATGTTCTTGAGAGAACGTCTAAAGGCATTGAAAGATGGATGGGACGAAATTCATCAAATGTGGGAGAACAGACAACAGCTCCTTTCTCAATCACTCAGTTTGCAATTACTCGACAGAGATGCCAGACAAGCGGAAGTTATCCTCAACCAACAAGAACACACTTTGGCGAAAGATGAGAGTCCAACAACACTAGAACAAGCTGAGAACTCACTCAAACGCCACGAAGCATTCCTCGCTACCATGGAAGCTAATGATGACAAAATCAATGGCGTTGTAGAATTCTCAAGAAGATTGGGCGATGAAGGACACTTTGCTGGAGATAAGATCACTAAAAGAGCTGACAATATCGATGAACGTAGAATGGCCAACAGAGAGAAAGCTCAAGCGCTCCTGGAAAGACTTAGAGATCAATTGGAGCTACATCAATTCTTACGAGATTGCGATGAATTGGGCGAATGGATTCAAGAAAAACACATTACAGCTCAAGACGAAACCTACAGATCAGCCAAGACTGTTCACTCGAAATGGACAAGGCATCAAGCTTTCGAAGCCGAGATTGGTGCTAACAAAGAACGCCTTCATAACCTCCAAAAAGCCGCCGAAGAATTGGCTAAAGAGAAACCAGAATATGCTAGTCACATTCAACCAAAGATCGAAGATATGGTAGATCAGTTCGATGTATTAGAGCAAACGACGAAAGAGAAGGGCGAACGCCTGTTTGACGCTAACCGCGAAGTACTTATCCACCAAACTTGCGATGACATCGATTCGTGGATGAACGATCTCGAAAAACAAATCGAAAGCGACGATACTGGTGCCGATCTGGCCTCTGTCAACATTCTCATGCAAAAACAACAGGTAAGTACTTACTGCCAATATTTCCTAAAAATATATGCGAATTTCAACAGTTTTGTACGATTCCTATTTTAATTTTCGCTTCTCGAGTAATATTTTTCTTTCTTTTGTTAACTTCGATTGCGATAATCCTGTATATCCATCATCATCATCAGTTGGCGCTAACAGCTCTTCGTGAGCCTTGGCCTGCTTCAAAACAGTCTTCCATCCTTCCCTATCGAGTGTCTGTCTTCTCCAGCCCTCACTCCAATCTCCCCTAAGATCTTCCTGTACATCGTCCAGATATCTGAGTTTAGGTCGCCCCCTTCTTCTTCCGATCGGCCTGTTTAGCATATGTTATTTAGTGGGATCACTCTCATCCATCCGCATAACGTGGCCCACCCACCTTAAGCGGTTTATTTGATGGGTCTTCATAATATCTGCATCACCAAAAAGTCTATAGAGTTCATAGTGAGAGCGCCTTCTCCACAGGGACACTGTTCGTTTACTCCGCCGTATATGGTCCTCAATGCTTTGTCTTTGCAAAGGACTCGTAGGATCTCTTCATCTCGGGTCGTCATTGTCCATGTTTCCGATGCGTATGTGAGCCACTGGGGGGCGTAGTATTGTTTTAT